GTAAACCTTATGATAGAGTTTATCTTCGACAAAATAGGAGAACAAATGATCACCCAAATTCAGCTTTCCAATCAACTCTACACCTCTCCTAGCATCATTCTTGTTAGCATCATCAAGAGTAAGATTGAATGCCTTAATCCTATAGGCATACAGAGATCCTTCAGAAATGATCAATATAAATAAAACTTCCACTGGCCCATTTGCAATCTTATATATTTTATTTGAATTACCATTAGATTATTAAATTGTAAAAAACCAACTCTTTATAAACTTAATACACTTTGTATGAAAAAAAAAAAAAATTATACATTCTAGACTATCAAACTGTATAACTTAAATAATTTGATAGGTCTAGTGAATCCTTAATATTAGGGTATTTCCATGCAATGATTCTTGTTTGCAGTTTGAGTAAGATAGCTTCTAAAGGAGAAGGAAAACACACCTCCATTTACACTTACCAATGGAGCATATTTCTCAATGCATTAACACTCTACACCCAGGCATATTTCTCAATGCAAAAACTCAAAGCTATGTGCACCTTATCAATGCAGCAAATGCAAAAATATATTTCTACTAGGAACTCAACACGAGACTCACTCATGTCCCAAAGAACACTAAATGAATTTCTGAGTTTGCTGCAGCAGTTGCAGTTATTCTTACATTGTTGAATTCTTTCTTCGGGAAGAAGGCATTGCTGAAAGATTTGAAGTGCTGCTGTGGCTCCGCAAATTGGAGTCATGTAGTGCCGTTGTGACTGTTGAGATTGACTTAGAGTCGGTTGCAAACATAGGAGCTGATACCTTGGCTGGAGTAGGTGGTGTGGCATGTGCTAGAGGTAGTATGTAAAAACAAAGAGGAAAAAGAAACCCCCCCAAAAAAAAAGAAGAAAAGACATAATTATGTTACATGGAAATTACAAACAATCCTCTAGCTTTGAAGTATTCTTACTACATGATAGTAATGACATCCATGAGTTACAAATACTGCAGCCTTATTGCATGCCAAAATTTCAATATCTCGTTCAATTTACAGAGAGAGAAATGATCAAACATATAAAGAGTTCGAATGACAGAAATTCACACAATTTCAGTATCTACTTTATTGAGCTAGAAAATATGTGGCAAAGGTCAAAGCAGGACAAGTACCAAAATGGAGCTTTTAAGGAAAAACATCTCACCTTCCTTCCCCAATAATGTCACCGAATTCAGTGATATTTAATGGAGAAGGCACCAGCTCTATCCCTGGATTAAGATAGTTCTTGTCCTTGTTATCACCGTGCTCAGATTTAATAGATAGTGTGTTTTCAGCCTCAATGCTGGTTGTTATGTCCTTAAAATCCCAGTCAGTTAAATAACTCGGTTTTGATGCAACAGGACTCACTTCGAGATCCCCAGCAAGCATAGCTATAACCCTTGACATGGGTGGTCGCATCATTGGCGATGCTTGTGTGCACAGGAGTCCCACTCTTATCATTCTTAAAGCTTCATTTTCATCAAACTCCACTAGGGTTGGATCCAACAGACCTAGACTCTGGTTTCTTTCGTGCAGAGTCCACACCTAGAAACATTGTATAAGTAAATCTCATGCACAAGGAATGTGTCTATGGAGAAGGAAAAATGGAAAAGAGTTTCTTTCTTTACCCATTCAAGAAGATAGATCTTGCCATTGTCCTGGCTGTTGTCAAAGTTAGGTCTTCCACTGAGAATTTCCAAAGCAACAACACCAAAGCCAAACACATCTGCCTTCTCAGTGAGGTGGCCACGCATTGCATACTCTGGTGCCAAATAGCCACTGCAAATATTGCAATTAAGCAGTTAAATTTGAATGTTGAAGGTTTATTGAGATGATTTCTCAATGATACAAAGTCTCTGGATTCCATTGATGGTTTGATGCTATGAAACCAAACAACATATACAAGCTACAATATAATGCAAACAATTAGATATTCTTTTGATATAGTGATTCAAGAAGCTTACATGGTTCCTGCCACCCGAGTGCTGATGTGAGTTTTCCTGTCATCATATAGCTTTGCCAGTCCAAAGTCAGATATTTTCGGACAGAGCTTAGAATCAAGCAAAATGTTACTTGCCTTCACATCTCTGTGTATGATCCTCAGCCTTGATTCCTCATGAAGATAAGCTAGTCCTCTAGCAGTTGCAAGGCAGATATTGAAGCGGGTTGGCCAATCAAGATGCAAGTCTTTATTTCCTGCAATATGTGAGGCAGGAAATGTTATGGATGGTGATTAATTTGGTGAAGAAATGAATACAGATGCAGATATGTTTCCTTTTCCTGCATAGAGGCTAAAAGGGAGCAAATAACTTGTTCAGTCATACCAAACAGTGCTTGGTCAAGGCTTTTGTTCTCAAGATACTCATAAACAAGGAGGCGGCTGTTTCCTTCAATGCAGCATCCGTACAGTTTAACAAGGTTGCGATGTTGCACTGCAGATATGGTAGCAATCTCAGTAACAAATTGACTCTGCCCTTGGTGAGAAGCTACTGAAAGCTGCTTCACAGCTACTGCCCGCCCATCAGAAAGTTTACCCTATAATTTATATAAAGTGCCTTTTTTAGTAACATCGTCGTATAAATCTTCCACCTCATTAAAAACAGATTTAAGATTTTAAGCCAATAGCTTACCTTGTATACTGGACCAAATCCCCCTTCTCCTAACTTATTTGAGGGACTGAAGTCATCTGTTGCAGCTCTCAACTCGACATAACTGAAGGTGTTTGGTCCGGTTGCTGTTCCAAGAAGCTCTGCAAATTCAAGTGAAGTTGGAATAAAATCTACAGATGATATAGGAGACAATTATATAATGTTGAAATTTTACAAACACTGGTCCTAGGATTCAGCATCCCAAGTTTAAAGGCCATGGGCCATTGTATAATTTCCTTTTTTTTCCTTTTTGTTTTAGTTTTTGTCCTGTTCATATATTAATCAGAAAGTTGATGAGTAAATAAGAATAAGAGCAGGGTCAATACCAGAAGCCTCGAGATATATTATATATGGGAGAACAAAACCAGAAATCAACAACTCATGAAATTCAAGTTTACTTCCTATGTACAAAATTTGTTCTTTCAAGCAATAGGAAGGAATACTGGTCCCATGTGAATGCATTGCCACAAGATAGAGCAGCAACATTGTCAAAGAAGTTGATAAAAAAAAAGGAAAAAAGAAAAATCACTTTCTCTCTCCGTCAAGGGAGATAAATTTTAGCCAACCTTTCAAAAGTACTACTAGAACATCTCTTCCTTTAAAAGCACATTTGTCCACCCTTGTAATAAGAAGACAAGTAAGAGCTTAACCTAGAACTTGGTTTGGGGAGTCTAGAACTTCACTCAGCAGCAATGAGGCCAGATCCACCATAGTATATTAACATCAATCAGTTTTACAAATAATATCATGACTAACTACCATTACACTTTTTAGGACTCTTACCTTCTTCATCATCATCTTTTCTCCTTCTCAAGTAGAAGACTATAAATATCAATACCAAGGTGAAGGTGACAACTCCCACAGGAACTGCAACACCAACAATCAACCCAGTCCTATTCTCTTTTGCTGTACGTGGGACAATCCAACTTATATTTGGCGTGAAATCTGATCGATAGGTTTTAGGCATTAGCAGTGGCAAACAGAGATAGACATGACTTAAGATTTTGAACAAAATTCTTATGTCATCTCATTTCTTACTAGGTACCACGTTGATTGCTGAAATGGACGGTCCATAGTAACCTGCTTCTGGTATGCCCCTTGTTCCCTTACCAGCCCAGAATAGGTGAATTTCAAGATGGTTCTCTGTCACAGTAGCATTGAAATTCTTAGTGATTGCTCTGTCAACCCCACCTGCCTCTTTTGATATGTCAAAATCCTTCAATATGATGGTTCCCTGGGAACAGTTGATTATGATTAAAATCTGAAAATGTAAAACTTAAGTTTGCAAATTCATAATTTTAGAAACATTTGTTACATTGAGGACTTGAATAAAATGATCCATAAATGCAATCTCGAAAATGGTTTACCATTTTGATAGAAATTTTACCTGAATATAAATATCAAAAACTCGCCTTCCCAGACTCTCCCAAGTTTGTGTGCTTCGATCTTTGAAAGCTGTTTCTGCAAAAAGCAAGTTAACTGTATAAGGTCCATTCTCTAGGCCTAAGCCATGGTATCTGAGTGATCCAGGTGATATCCTCGAGGTCTTAAAAAGATCTGGTGAGTTGGTGTATATCACTTCTTGCAAGGCATTCTGCACATAGATTTGATTACTTCTGTCAGAAAACAAACCCACATTGCTGACTGCCCATTTCTCAGTAATGGCTACATTAAATGATGCTGCGCCAAGAGAAGAGTCTTCAGCCTCATATTTTATCCCATCAGCAGTCATCTCTGGACCGCCACACTTGATTGAGAAGTTTGCATCTGCCAACATGAATATCTTAATATGCTTGGCAAGTTACTCAAGAACAATAATTAAAATTCCAGCAACAGAACTTCATACCCAGTAAGTTACTGAAGCCATCATTTACAACAGATTAAAAACAAGTAAATTTTGACTCCTTTCAAGTTCTAGCAGGACAAACCTAATGTCTCTTTACAATTGCCATTGATGCATGCATATTTCAATTGGTCAAGCTCAGAATTATTGATACTAGGAAAGTAGGAATGGATAATTTGTCATTGATGAGTCCAAGAACACTCTAAAATACAATTGTCCATGCCTTTTCCCCACTACATGAAGTTTCTTTCTGTGATTACAGTGTAATGCCAAGTATAAGCTATCTCAAGGCAATGCAGCAAAAGAAGCTTACAGCGTGGAGAGTTCCTGCTGCATGGGAAGCTTCTTTGAAGGCAGTGCAATCCTGGTATAACACTGAAAATAAATAAAATAGTTGTTTCTTATTAGTGTTATAAATTATAAAAGAATGCCTTCCATTGTGGAAAAAAATGCAACCAATTTTCTTATTCCTTTATATTAAGGTTGATTGAAGAGTAAAACTCAAACAGATACTTAAGAACTACAACTCACCTTTTGTTTGAACTGTCAAATGTGAAGTTGTTGGCTGCTAGATTCCTACATGATACAAAGCAACAACACAAATGAACATCTGTCATAGTAGCTGTAACAATCTGACATTCATGAAATTAAAGTGACAGATACTCTTTCTAGAAATGATATACATGGGTGTGTAGTACATTACTATCATGGTTCTTGATAACCAAAAAGACTTCCAGAGGACTTTTAGTTGAGTATTGGAATTTAGGTCATCAGCACAAGTTAGGTACCAAAATAAGAATAAAACTAGGTCACTGGCTCTGACAAGGATTTAATGGAGAAGGTCGGAGTAGATCTTGAGCTTTTTTCTTTCATTCATATTGGATTAATAATGTGACATCAATTAAAAGAAAAATAAGCTCAAGCTACATACAGTTGTAAAATTGTATTCACCCATGAGGGAAAGCTTCCAGACAGAAAATTGTAAGATAAATCTCTGCATGAGAAAGTAGTCAAAGTATAATAGCAGAAAGTTAGCAGAAGTTATTGATTCAAATAAAGAGAATGCCCAGAATGGTATGGCTTACATATTCATTAGGTCTGCACTCTTTTGGTTAGGGATGGTACCAGAAAGACTATTGTTTCCAAGAAACCTGGACATTGACAGAATATAATACATTCAATTTCTTTTTCTTTTGATGGTTAATAACATCAGGTTAATGGCATTAGGTTGACCAGAAAAACTAATGATAAAATTGAAATAAATCAAGATTTTGAAGCATCTTCTATGACTTTACAAGTATGTAAGAGAATTTATGTTGAACAAAGCACTTGGAATTTGGCCTGTTAAGTTATTGAAACTCAAATCCCTGGTAAAAAAAGAGGAATTAAATTAATATAGGAAATGGAAGCAAATTTCATAGAAAACATATTCATCAGGCAAAGTGTGAATGTATCTTACAGTTTTTGTAAATATGGGAGTTCTCCAATATCAAATGGAATACTACCAGTAATTAATGCATTTCTTAAAACTCTACAGGAAAATAAAGAAGGAAGGAAAAGAGTAAAGTTTTTTAGTCAATTAACTAATAAAATAAACACAAAAAAGACAAAAGAAGATACAGGTTTCTGTACATGATTAAAGAGTTTCTACTTACAAGTCAGTTAAATTCTTTAAATTTCTAATGAAATCAAGAGAAGAGCTCACATTGGATAAACCATTGATTCGCCTGCATGATTATAGATAAGAATTGAAGAAGTTAGCCATTATACATACTTTCAAAATCATGCATGCAGAGAGAGAGAGTAAATGGTAAGTGAATAATTACTTACAGAGACTTTAGAGAGGTTAATTTAGAAAAGCTGGATGGTATAGGACCTTCAAAGGAGTTCCCTTCAAATCTCCTACAGAAATATTTCACAGGCTAATCAAGAAAGAACAAACTAGATATATCTCACTGTTGAAGAAAGAAGGCAAAACAAATTTAAAAAGAATGTCTTTAAAAATTGAATAAGAAGTATTCGTAACTTACAATTGTGCAAGGTTTGTCCAGTTGCCAATGAAATCAGGTATTTTGCCTGTGAAAGGACTGTCTGATACCCACCTAAAATCCAAAAAGCTCTCTATTAATGACAGGGTAAGAGAAGATGATTTTGAGATGCTCCAGAAGCATAACCAGACAAATAAATACAGCTCATGATCCCAGGGACTTTCTTACATGATTTGCATGTTTAGAAGGTTAGCAAATGTTGAGGGAATTTCACCACCAACTCCACAGCTGTCAATATAACTGCACATTCATAAACCAAAACTGTTTAGTCTCTGGTGATAGGCTTCTTACTGCACAAACAATTGAGCTACAAAGAACTAGAAGGAAGTAATAACTCACATTTGTTCAAGTTTGACTAAATTACCAAGTTCTGGTGGGAGCGTTCCAGAGAAATTATTTGTACCAAAGGATCTGCAAGACAGAATTCAAATAAAATATTTTTATGAAGAAAGAGAAACCATTAAAATTGACATGGGGTTTTATTTGAACCTATCACAAGGATTGCACTTCTCATTATCAAAATTAAGTGAAAAGGTTAAAAATCTTTCAAGAGATTTTGCTGGTCTCTCAAGTCTCAAAAGGAGGAATGTTGTGAGGGTTTCATGTGAAATTTAATCAACATAAAATGACCTAAGCTCAGAAGAGCCACACAGATTCTGTCTCAATCAATGCCATGAATCTTCTAGTGACTTGACTACCATATTGCATCAATACTTCACATCAGACATAAAACAATGTGAGTACCTCAGGACCTCTTCGAAACTATTTATAGGAAGATTATATTAAAATCATAAAAAGATTCAATCAATAGTTGAAACTAATACTGATTTTGAATACCTGAAGTTATTTATCATCCCTTCTGGAATTCATCAATTCAATGTAAATCAGAATTCAGAAGTATAGTTATTATTGTGAAAGGTTGTTACATCAACTAGTAAGCACTGCCATATCAACAATTAATTTTACATGTTAGAGTTGTGGCTATCCCCCCTTCCTGTTCCACCATCAGCCCTCAAACACAAATTCTCCCCAGACTATCAGATCCTCTCAACATAATATTGAATTGATTTTTCATTTTATAACAACGGCACTTTCATAATGACCAATGTCCAAACTTGTGCATGATATAATTTAGAGGCTACATGTGTGTGGTAGAACAGAACCATTTGATGCATTACAATGGCAGATAAAAAGAAATCAAAAGGAAAAAAAAATGATGCATTGCGATGACAAAGTAGAATTTCTTCAAGTCTTACAGCATAGTTAACTCCTTAAGATTTCCAAGCTCCTTAGGAATGGACCCAGAGAATGCATTGTGCCCAAAAGACCTTGACACGTAAAACAAAACTCAAAAAATTACTAGTCGCTTCTCAAATAAGAATTAGCAAAAATAACACACCAAAGTCAATGAGTTTTACCTGTGGAATAAGCATGCTGACAATAATCAGAAAATAAGTGAGATGTATTGATAGTATTGCTTCACAAAGTTGAAAATCTTTAGCACTTCAATGATTTAGCTTCATAATCAAGGATCAATGCCTCTTTTTTATAAAGAAAGATGTAATTAGCAGGTTGATACATTTATTCTAGACAATAAAGATATTTAACCACTGGAAACAAAAATCAGAAAAACTACACATGGAAATTTCAAAAGTTTTTGATAAATGCTATTTATTAAAGTAAACTAAAATGCTTTCATAAGATCACCAGAATCCATGCTTACAATATCTGCAATGTAGATAAATTCCCAATCCATGCTGGAAAGGTACCAGTGAAGTAATTTTGATCGATCTTCCTGCACCATTAAACAATGAACAATTCAGTACTTTTCAAAACTCTCCAGGAAAATGATAAAATGTCATTGTCTACTAGCAAAAGAAAAAGAGAAACCATACAGATAGGTTAAGAATTTGAAAGCCAAAAGCTCCTCTGGCATCACCCCTGGTATGTTCAGTTTTTGCACTCTCCTGGGAAAATGAACAAACAGTTAAGAGTTCAATTCAGCAACCGATCAAAAGTTCCAAACAGAAGTGAATGCGTTGGCCGGAGCAGCAAGAGACGGAGAGAGTACAGTTTGGTGATGTGGCATGTAGCTGCATTGTCGAAGGAGCAATTGCATGTGATGGCTGGATTGTTGGGAGGATCATCAAAAACGGAATTGCCTTGGCTCAGAGCAGTTCCGGTGCATGGTTCGCCGCTGATATTCCAGGAATTCGCCGGTGCCTGGATGCCCCATCTTTGGAAGATTGAGTTCAATGCACTCACTGCATCAAAATTCAAGAAACGTCAGAATGCTTCTGGTGTTTGTAATCTCTGCATTTGATGCCAATTAAACAAACTGGACACTTGTAAATGATCTAAGTGTGAAATTTTCAACATGATCGACAAATTTCTTGCAAATCTCCTTATCTGTAC